CTTTTTGCTTGAGCATGCAGAAATCACAAATCTTTCCTTCTGAGTTTGATTTTGTTCTGTGCTCTTTCCAGTGCAGAAGTAACCCCCAATAGTCGTAGGTACAAGCAGGCTGATTCTAAAACATGCACACGTTTTACCCTGTTTTATTTCCTCAGAGGAAACCACACCATCAACTTAATTTATTTCTCCTCTCATGCCACTCAGTGCTGCTTAAGAACATTAAAAAGGTCATTTAATTCTGCCCTTCTTGCAGCTCATTTTAACTGGGTCTTTTCCATTATTTGGTGAGTGTTCTTCCCTAATTGAATCACTGTTGTGTTCCCCAAATAGACTAATCCCAGTTTTTTTCACTATTCTATTTTCCAGAATTTGAATCTCTACATTCTCTGAAGATCTCTCTGCCTCACACTTAAAAAACAAAATTCATCCTATGTGAACTCCGCTTGTTCCTCACTTTATACACCCTTTCTCTAATTTCCTCTATCTCATATTTCATCCCATTCCTCAGAGGCAAATATCTCCAGTTACACCCATGATCCCATCTCCTCCTGCCTCCTCTGAACATTTTATACGGCTTATTCCTTTCTTCTGAGCCCTGCAGTCTCTCTGCTTAAGACACTCCTATTCTAAAAGCAAAACAAAAAATCTTTCTTCAGCCTTGCTTATCCTTCATATTTCCCTTCTGCAGACTTTTAGAAAGAGTCTTCCTCTTCTCCTTGACCTCATCTCTAACTCCTAACAATTTGGTCTCTAGCTGTATCACTCCCTTGGGCTACACTCTCAAAGTCACTGTTACATAATTAATGGTAACCCAGTCTAATGGTCTTCCTGCACCCCCATTATCCTGTAGCATTTGACAAAGTTGATCACATCATTTGGAAACCAGAAGTGTTGCCTGAATTCTGAATGGACTCTCCTCTCTCTGTGCCCTTTCTTTAACTCAAACTTGAACCTTTGCCCTTCAGGCTGCAATTTCCTATGCCTAGTGTCCATATTGTTAGACATTCTCTCAGGAATTTTTCACCATACATTTCTATATCCTCCTTTTCTGGAGTTTTCATGGTTTTTAACATCTTTTCTGTGTAAATAGCTCTGAAACCCATTAATTGTGAATGATAGGTGTCTGTTTCCTATTTCAGCTGAACTTACTCACATTTAAGTTCTACTACTACGTCAAATGTCACCCAGAACAGAATCTGAATTTTTGTCTCCATCCCTAACCTGTTCTTCCTAATTTTCCTATTTCTGTAAGTGACATCACCACCTGCCCTGTTACTTAGAGCAAAACCCTGGGTCTCTCTTGGACCTGTTAAGTTCCCTACCCAAGAGCCATGAATACTCAAACTCATAGATATGCGGCCCTGCTAGCTCTGTTTTGATACATTACTGCCAGATTAACTTTCTTGAAATGCACTTACAGGTTATTCCCCTACTTAACAGTGTCTTACCATTTACAGAACAAAATCCAGATGTTAATGTTGGTTCACAGCATGGCTGCAGCCTACCTGTGTGATCTAGTTCTCAGTGCCACACTGAACACCAAGCAGTTATTGGCTATTTTTAATATAATAATATTGTATATTACTTGCTGTTCTCTTCAGATTACTATCCTTGACGCTTCACTCATGTGGTTTCCCCAGTCTCTAATATCTTTCCCCTCCCCTCCCATTCTTGGCGTCTAAATTCTACCCATTCTTTAAATGTTACATCTTTAAAGTTTCCCTGATCTTCACTACTGGAAAAAATATTTCCAACCTCTGAGTTTCAATTACATTTTACTAATATAGCCACACTTACTTCTTTTGTTAGTGTTACATGAAAAATTTTCCCCATCCTTTTACTTGCATTTTTATGTTCATAAAAATGTGCTTCTTATAAACAACAGATAGTTGGGTCTTGCTATCTAGTCTGTCAATCCATGCCTTTTAATTGTGTTAGTCTACTTATATTTATTGCAATTATGGGTATGTCTGAATTGAAGTCTATCACCTTGGTGTTTTAATTCTATTGTTCCACCCACTTTTTTTTTTTTCTTTTGGTTATCTGTTTTTCTTTTCCTATTTTTTTGGGTAGTTATAGTAGTTAACTCATCAATTTTAAAAAAATATTCTACCTGTTGAATTTTTAGTTAGTCTCTTTGAATATTCTTGTGTTTTCTGATCACTACAGAGACTGACTTCATATTTAGCACATAATAATCTACATTTTAAATTCTAAGAGTTCTATGAAAATCTATTTCCAATTCTTAGTCTTTATTTGTGCTCTTATTTACTATAACTTTACATATATATACTATAAACTCCATATTCCTTTGTTATTTTTTAAAGAACCATAGTCTGGAGAGATTTTGTTATGTCTGTGTACAAAAATTATAAATATTTTTTAAAAGATTATTTCAATTTATTGACCTGTTTACATTTTATGCTGTTTCCATTCCTTCTTATAGAACCAGATTTCTGGCTGGTATTTTCCTTAAGCATTTAGACCTTTTAGCATCTCTTGTGGAGCAACTCTGCTAGGAAGAATTCTTTCACCTTTTGTTTGGCCAAAGGTGTTTTTATCTTACCTTCATTTTGGAAACATATCTTTTACTGGATATGGAATTTGGAATTGACATGGTAGTGTTTTTTTTCTTCATGCATTAAAAAAAAATTCATTCCATTGCTTCCTGTCCTCCATTTTCTTTTTCTGATGAGAAGTGACCCTAAATTCTTATCATTGTTTCATTGTTCCTTGTATGCATTGTTTCTGTTTTCTCTGACACTTTCAATTAGCAATTTTTAGCAGTTTCACTATTATGTGTCTAGTTTTGTTTCTTATTTAACCTGCTTGGACTTCTTTGAACTTTTCAGATACGTCTTTTGTTGTGTCATTTTTTTTAGCAAATTCTCAGCCATCATCTCCTCATCTATTTCTTCTATTCCATTCTTTCTCTTCCTTCTGGGATCCAAATACATATATTTTAGACCATTTGGTCTGTTTGATTTCTTCACTCTTTTTTCTCTGTATTACAGTTTGGATAATCTCTTTTGACATGGTTTTTATACTTATTGATTATTTCCTCTGCCATGTAGACTTCTGCTTTAAAGTCTATCAAATGAATATTTCATCTTTGATATCATGTTTTTCATTTTAGCACTTGCCATTAGTTTTCTTTAATAATTTATATCTTTCAGATTTTTATCTCTCTGCTTTAATTTCCCATATATTCATACATCATCCATCTTTTCCTCTAGGTCTTTTAATATATTTATTGCAATTATTTTAATTATTTTTATGTAATTATTTTAAAGCCTTGTCAATCCCATTACCTAGGCCATCTCTTGGTCTGGTTATATTTAGTATTGTTTCTGATGATGATAGGCCCCATTTTCCATGTGTGTGTGTGTGCTTTGTAATTTCAATTGAATGCTTAATATTGTGCATAAAAGAACAGTAGAATCTGAGGTAAATTATGCTCAGAAATGGTTACGCCTCTTCTTCTGTCAGGCTGTACGAGTGGTTGTGTTCAAGTACTTTATAGTTCAGTGAGGTCTGGACCTGTCTTTGCTTTATGTCCAATGTTCTACAGGCTTTGAATTCCCCCACTGGGGAAGTGCCCCTAACTTGTACTTAGTGTAAGGCCTGGGGCCAAAGGGCTCCTCCTCGTTCTCTTGTGGCACCCTTAGACTCCTGTGGCCCTTACAAACCTCCAGCAGAGGGATTCCACCTTAGTGCTACTGCCCGTCCTTCAGCAAAGGACTGCTCTTGTCTGGTACTAAGTGCAAAACCTAATTCTTTGGATGTACCTTCAGATTTAGGCAGGCCCTGTGTTCTCAAATTGGTGAGACTTTCTTTCTGTCCTGCCTCTCTCTAGTGTTAGATGGTCACCCCTGTAATGGGTGTTAAGACCTGGTGGGTGGAAGGGTTTATAAGAAAATCCCTGCATGCCTGCTGCTCAGTAGGGTTCACCTTCAGCTGTCTTTTCCTTTTCTCTGTGGCAGACAGCTACTGCCACATACTCGTGTAAAGTTGTAATGTGGGAGATTTTCCCACTAAAAGGACTGCCTCAAATTTAGGCAGTCCTATTAGTTCATTAATTTACCTTGCAACTTTGAGTCTCCAGCAGGTCAAAAATATAATTCTGCAGATGTCTAACTTTTTCTGATTATTTAGGTGGAACAATGTTTCTTGTAACTTTCCATATTTTAGACAGAAGCAGAAACTCCCTATTCCATTTTATCCTCAACCTTTCCTTAGATGTCATTCTCTCAGAAACAAATGCTAAGAAAAGGATCTGAGTTTCAGTAGTTTATTTGGGAGATAATCTTAGGAAACCCCAGTAAAGTAGTAAAAGGAGAGAGAGGAGAAGAAGATGTATCGTGCGTTAATGAGCAACTGTGGCATAATCTCACTGGGGACTTCTGGAAGATGTGGAGAATCAGCCTTGGCGAGGAAGCTTGGTATTTATCCAACTCCCATTTGTGATTGGTCAGCTGCTCTGCCTGTGGGTGGAGCCTATTCCAGGTCAAAAAGGCATAGAGTCACAGGTGCTTGCAGTAGGACATTGTTGACATGAGGGCACAGCAGTGTCTGTTATAAATTCTCCAATGACACTTCCTACTTTATTTCTCAGGCATATTGCTGTACTAGAGCCTGATGGTACTGAGAGGATGATTCACACCTGATTTATCTTGGCATTCTCCTAGGATGAAGAATAGTCAGAAGACAATCAACATTAATTAAATGTGAAAATACACTTTATAAAGTACCAACCACTATGTCAAATTCTGGTTAACTCCTCTTTATTTCCTATCTTCCTCCCAAACCCACAACCTTACTCAAACCCCAATCACTCAAGATAACAGAGTTCTCTTAATTGCCAGAAAGCTTAAATTCACCAGATTGGCTGGAATTTTTTTTAAAATATTGATTTCCTAGCTCATTTGAATGTATTATTGTCTAAAATACAATTTTTGAAACCTGAACTGTATCTAACAGCTACTTTATATTACTGGCAGCCAACGATGATAAGGCGTCCACCAACAATTGTTTGCTACATTTGTGGTCGTGAATATGGAACAAAATCTATTGCCATCCATGAGCCACAATGTCTGAAAAAATGGCACAATGAGAACAAGTTGTTGCCTAAAGAGTTGAGGAGACCAGAACCTAAGAAACCGGAAGTCAGGACCATTACTGGTAAGTTACTGAAAGAAAAAGACCTGAAGGCTATAGAAGGGGAGACTTTTCTCTCTAAATATGTAAAAGTAGAGGTACTCTTTTCTTGTTCAAACAACTGAAATCAGCAACATTTACTGTCTTGGTTACAGCCAAATAGGAAAATTATTTGTGGAATGCTTGCCCAGAATTTTATCTTCAGATGCTGAGATGTAGAGACACTATAGCATGGCAGAGCTCCACAGGTTGAGGGACCCACTAGAATAACTGTATTTCCCAAAAGTTACTTTCATATACTGCCAAGCATAATACTTAACAAATAGAAAGCTTAAAAACCTTTGGGGACATCTGGAGATATATTTTTTAAATATGAATATGTCTTAGTGTTTATAGAGCAGGGGTGCCAAACAAATGCTTACAGGGTCCACTAGTCAAATTATGAAATTGAATAAATGGTCCATGTGTGGAAAAAAGGAAGGTGGGGACTATGGGGAGCTGGAGGGCACCAGCTCTCTCTAAAGGGGACAGCTGCTACCCAGTGCCAGCTGGTATTATCATTAAGAAAGTTAGCCCAGTGTAGGCATATCTCTGAGTAATACAAAAGAAAGTGGGAATCTAGACATCTTTATGAAATGTCCAGATTTTTTAAATTTTGCAATTAATACTTTGTAAAGCACAGCACAATCCCAATGAAACTAGAACTCCATCAACTGCCATGTGTGACCTCCTCACAAAGCCTTGTGCATACTTATTAGGGTGAGAAGGAAGTAGTTCAGAGAATGTTTTCCATGCAAGCTCAGATTTGCTCATCTCATTTCAACCACTGTCCTTTGCTCAGTTGATTCTCTGACTCCCCTAAAAGGAAACCATTCTGGTTTTAAAAGTAGTAGTATTCAACTCACTGATTCCCTTTATGTAACATAAGGCATAGCCAGAAGGTAGTTTGAAGGTCATTTGGTATCAGTTAGTTCAAAGCACTCTTGTTAGAGATGTGACTCAAAGAGAAGTATGTAGCAATCCACAGAATGGTATCTAGATCAACATGGTAAAGTGCTAGAGGCTGCCACACCCAAATATTCACAGTTCTTGCCAAGAGGAGAATTCTATGCACAGGCAGAAAAAGAACTCAAGATGAAAACATCGATCTATTGAAACGAGCATTTGTTCACAAGATTGTTTGCTTCATTGAAACTCTCTCCCCAGCAATTCTCATTTGGTATCAAAAATGTCTTCTTCCTTCACGTCTAATTTTTATCACTTTCCCTGTTGAGTGCAATCATCACATGTTGGAAGGGGGAGGTGAGAGAAGCTCTGGGGGGTTCATTACTCTGTTATTGCCTATATGTGGACATGGTAGGTCTGATGGCTACACTTCCCTGCCACTGTCCACTTGGCCCTCATTTTATTTCTGAAGGTGCCTTTCCTCTCTAGGCAAAAAAAAATTCCCATTAGCATTTCTATCCCACAGACTTACTGTAGTCATAGAGTTCAAATGACCTTTCATCCAGATCCGAAGTCAGAGAAAGTCCTATGCAAAAACCTTTAGCAATGTGATGAGTCACCACGGAGTGACAATCAGTGGCCACTCTGGAACCCTTGAGTCCCTGTGACAGCTCATGTGAGCAAGGAGAAAGTCAGTGCCATTCTTTTTTCAACAAATTTCAAAGCCCTCAAAAGACATATTCATAACCTGCGTTGAATGTGATGCTTGCTTTTTTCCAGAGGAGAAATACAAACTTGTGCAGGTTTCATTTCCCATGGAGCAAGAAAAAAAATAAAGAGTAGGCATACTAAGGAATCTAAGGTTTGCTATGGTTGTGTGAACCCTTAGATAGAAGTCATCTGACAATTGCCTGGGCTTCAGTGAAGAAATATATGCTGTGGAAATGATTTTAAAACAACTGTAATATATTTCTGAGTGCCTGGCTACATTTGGTAGTGGAAGGGGGTGATGCCTATTTTGGGTGCTTCTAAGACAGTCAATTTAATGTACTAAAGTCATTCTATATAAATAAGGTTTATTAAAGCTAAATCCCACACTGTTTTTCTAAAATAAAGCCATATGCCTTTTTTCCTATGCTCTGCCAATGAAGATTATACATCTCTCAGCTGTCTTTGTTGTTTTCTTAAAGACACTTCTTTTCATCAGATTAACTATTGAATTGTTTACATTCTTTGCTTTAATTACTTAAAGAATCTTTGAATTTATGGCCATAATGATGATAAACTTTTAGGATATAATTCATCTTAAAGTCACTCTCAACTCTCAGTGTTGGCCTGTAAAAACATTCCACTGAAAGATTACAGAAGAGGAAAATACAAATACCCTTTTCCCTTTGTAAGCTTATATTTAGAGTTAACTGAAAGGCGGCCAGAAGTTATATTCACAAGATAATAATATGTAAGCAAAGATGTTAATAATTAGTGAAGAATGCATCTCATAATATATAAAACAACGTCTTTCCCTTTTTAAAACCCAAGGAGTAAAAACCTCAGGTTCATAGCTAACTTTATTCAACCCTTGAAAGAGTGAACAGGCCTTTTTTTTTTTTTTTTGGCAGAAGTAGTGTGGTTTGTTTAAAAGCCTCAGTCAACAGGTATTTCCTGAAAATACTTTCCACAAAAAGTAGAGCCTGGTTCTCCAGAATAAAAACTGATCCATTTTATAATTTTCCTTTCCTTTTCTTTCTTTCTTTTTTGTTCTTTTTTCTTTTTCTCTTTAACTTTCCAGCCAAAGGTTTCTATGATCTCGATGCCTTAAACAAAGCTGCCTGGACCAGTGCCCAGAGCCAGTTGGTTCCCTGTGACATCTGTGGGCGTACCTTCCTGCCAGACAGACTGATGGTTCACCAACGGTCCTGTAAACCCAAAGTCGCCAAGTAAAGCCCTTTCTCTCCACTAAAGTGTCACAGGGATTCAGTCCTTTGGAAAGAGATGGGGATATGTCAGGAAGGAGAAAAAGGAGGTGAGGAGAGGAAATAAGGAGAATTGGAATTCACCAAGAGCTGTCTTGTAGGAAAGCCCGGCTTGGGGCTTTGGTGGCGTGAGCATGAGCACAATGTGGTGGGTAAATGCTTTGCTTTTAACAAGCAGCTACGTGCATGTGCAAAGACACACTGTGGGTGTGTCACACGTTGTCAGGCAGAATTATATGTGGGCTGCACCTGGTCAGAGCTGGCATTTTTGTCTCAAGGAAATTTCAGAGCCAATTTTTCTTCCCTTCTATTTTCCTGAACAAGATTCTGAACCTCACAATTAAGACTATTATTCAGTGACCAGAGGTTGTGGGTGGTGACTTGGGCAACAACTTAGTCCCGAGAAAAACTGGCTTCCTTCCCATCTCTGTGCTTTGTGAGACAATGTGCCACTCCCTGTTTCCTCTCACCCGGGGAGATGTTTTTAGTCCACTTATTGATTGGGAATCTTCTTTACTCTATAAAATCACTCAAAAGAAGAGAGATTCAAGAAAGAGCTAAGGACTTAAAGTGCTAGAACCATATGTAACTCATTCTCCCTCACCAATAGCAAGAAATGCTACCGAGACATTTCAGAATCAGTGCCAGCCTCGTGTGTCAGGAGATGGCTGGAGGCTAGCTCCTTCCTTCTGCAGAGGAAGACCAATGAAGAGTTCTCTGTGCCTTCAGAGGGGCTTCTAGGTGTTCTATTGTTGAGGCCTTAAAGCCTGCCAGGAAGTTCGGGCCTGCCCACCCAAGACCCATGCACGCTGAGTAATGAAACTGCTGTGTATTTGGGAGTCCTTGAGTTTGTGCTCAAAGAGGCGGGGCTCTCCTGGGAGGATGCCAGGGTCAGGGAGGGGCTCTGCCCGGGAAATTTGGCTCCCCCAGGCAGTGCCACTCTGCCTGGACTCCCAGCCGCTTTGCTTGAGATCTTTGTTTGTGTTATGGCTGAAGTTCAGGGCCATTCTGGATCCACTTGGTTCCTGCAAGCCTTTACAAGCACATTTATTCAGCCTAGTTTTTGGTCACGCATCCCTGGTTAGGTTAGGGCAATTACATTAATCATTTGGTTTTTCCTGCCTGTTCCGAAGAAAGTCAGAGGTGAGCTTTAAAAAATGTCTTTAGGTACCTCAGGTTAGATGATCATCTTGTGAAAGATGGAACATTTAGCAACTCCTAGTTGATGGTTCAACAAAAATGATAACAATGTACTGTGGATCAGGCATTGTGATCCATGCTTTCTGTACATCAGTTTATATAAATCTCACATCAGCCCTGCAAGTGGATGTCATTATCCTTATTTTACCCATGGGAAACTGAGGTCACACTGGGCCTGAGTGAGAGGACAGAGCAGGGAGACAAACCCAGATGGCTGGAATCCCAAACCCGTCATCGGGCTGCTGCGATCTGTATGCTGCCCATCATCATTAATAAGGTGAACTTAGTAACAAATGGTCTGACAAGTGTGACATTTCTTACCCAATGCTTAGTAACTAAAGCAAATGGGTATTTAGTGCTTCTGTAGTTTGCATGCTGGTCTCGGTTTATCTTTAACTGAGGGGATAACAAAAGTTTGTCCTGCATTGTGTTTCAGAAGACGCTTTTTCATTCTGCTAATGCCAAGCAGTCAGATAAACACGAATTTGGGCCTTAAGTTTGAAATGAATTGCCACTTGGGGTTATAAAGAGGATTCATGGGCACTTTTCTTTCAAAGTATGGCAGACACCAGAACAAAACTGCTTTCTTGGTAGGAGTTAGCATGTCTGGGAGTTCTTGACGTGGTTGAAAAGAGGAGCTCTTGGAGAAGTGGTCACTTTCCCAGGGGACTGTGAGACCCCCTGAGGTACATCAGGCCGCCCACTGTGGGGGCTCCCTTCTAGCCCCACCCCAGCTGGCCGGCAGACATCCCTGGAATTAAACCCCAAGCAAGCTCGGTTGCCATGTCATCAATCCAACAGTTCCTGTCCATCATCAAGGCAGTCATCAGATCGCGACATTCACAGGAAAGAACTGGACTCCCTCCGTCTGCCAGCTGCCTTCCCTCTCATTAGCTCACTTCTGTGCAAATCTTTACACTTGCAAAAGAAAAGGATTTCTCAAACGGTTGGTACCTCCATGAGCTATGAATTTGAGCCTGCAAATGGTTCCCATAGATACTTCCCTAGATGACGAAGGTACTTGGGGCTCTTACACTTGCTCAGGCAGTTACTGGTCTGGGAGGCAACAATGTCATTCCCTCACTGCTCTGCTAATTGGTGCTGTACACACTTTAATTAAATTCCCCTCCAGTTGAGACTGTTGGAGGAATTCCAGGATTTCTTGGTGCTCACTGCACATTGAATTCACATCTAAGTGGCGGGCCTGTCCTGTCAGAGGGAACCCTGGGGACTGAACAAGCGTGTCCGAGGAGGTGTCAGGAAGGAAAATCCCCTCTGGGAGTAAGCATGGAAATCTGTTAGAACTCCATCAGAGGGGCTTTTCAGGTAGCCTTAGCATCATGTTTTCTGACAGACACATATTTCCAAGTAGGGTCTCAAGGATGACTCAGTGTAGCTTGGAAAAAGAAGCTGCTGTTGACAAACAGACCAATCTGTGAGCAGGGAGGAGATAGAAGGCAGATGTCCAAAGAACCCTGCCCTCTGGAAACTGGAAAACAGCCCTTACTTTGTGTGTGCTTGTCTGCTTCTGGCGTACTTTACACGCCTTTCCAAACCAACTTGTGTGGCTGGAAGCCCATATCAGGTCCAGGCAGGAAGTTCAGCCCTTTCCTTCCCCAATCCTAAAGGACCTTTTCTCTCCTCTGGAAATGGTTCACCTTCTTTTATCATTTATGACTTTCCTAGTGACTCACGGTCTGGCCCACATGCACCTCTGTGCCCGCTGCTGCTGCCTGGCCCATGCTCTGTGAGCACTGTGATCAGAGAAGAAAAATGAGGTTTTCCTGCACTTGGAAGAAACAACACAAACGAGAGGCAGTTATTTGGCCTCTGGGAGGGGCCAAATTGGGTGATGTAGAAAGAATGTACACCAGGAAAACACTGCTAAGTTATCATAGAATGGTGTGCCTTTATGCTTAATTCTTTTTAAATTTTGTTATAAAGATATTCAAATAGATACACTTCTAGGGAAATGTATAATAAAGTCTCATGTTGTCTCCTCCCAGATGAACTTTGTTCTTGACATCCCACTGAGGTTGAATCTGAATGGCTTAAATTTCAAAAGTACTCTTTTGGGTATAAGAGGAAGATGGACATGGCAGAGAGAAGTGCTGGGAGCACAGGATTCTGGGGTGTCTCTGACAGTGCCTTTCTATCCTGTGTGTGGAAACATGGTTAAGCCAGCATGGATATCAATCAACTGCAGGCATGAGAAACAGGTGAAACAATGATGGGGCAACACTGATTCACACTGATCACCCTACAGGCCAAGGTTCTCAGGTATTTTAGTGGAGAGTATGTCAGGCAAAATAATGGCCTCCAAAGATGGTGATATCCTAGTCCCTCAAACTTCTGAGTAGGTTACCTTATATGGTAGGAGATTTCACAGGTGTGATTAAGGTAATAGACCTTGAGTTAGGGAGATTATCTCAGGTTTCTGGGTGAGTCCAACTGAATCTCATGAGTCCTAAAAAGTGGAAGAAGAAAGAACAAGGGTGGGTGGGAGAAATGGCAGCACAAGAATGATTCTTCACCCCATTGCTGGTTCTGAGATGGAGGGAACTATGTGCAAGGACCAGAGAGAACCCTCCAGGAGCTAAGGGTGGCCCTAGATGAGAGCCAGCAGGGAAACTGGAACCACAGTCCTATAACCGCAAGGAACTGCATTCTCCCAACAGCTTGAATGAGCAAGGAAATAGATTCTCCCATGGAGCCTCTAGAAAGGAATGCAGCTTTACCAACAACTTGTTTATTTTTTTCTGACAAATTCATGGTTCAAATTCTAACCTACAGAACTGTAAGAAAAGTGAGTGTTGTTTAAGCCACATAGTTCATAGTAATTTGTTTTGGCAACAACAGGCAGCTAATAGAAGAAGCATCTATATGGCATAGGATGGGGCCAGTAAAACTTGCCATTGATCAGAGGTAGAACCCTCAAATCCATAAGGGATGCTCGCTGGCCACCTCCACTGCTTATATATTGAAAAGACAACATAACCAACTTTCAGTTGGGGTAGATGGCCCAAGGAAAACTGGCTCCAAACTTTGCAAGTCCTGAATACACAGCTATTTTGCAAAATATACAAATTCTGGATGCAAATTTTTTATGTTCTATTTCATTAATGTTCATTTTAATGCTCTATTAATTTTTTAACCATAAAACTGATTGTCACGTCACACACTTGTTTCAAAAATAATAATAAATGGGCAAATGCATTGAATTATTTAGTAATGAACTTTTGGTGTCAATGACCCCACAGGCTTGCCCTGCCCTTCTATCTGTCTTTTCTGTGAGCTGCAGAAAGAAAACAGCTGCATAATCTGAATAACATGCAATGGGAGGTAGTTGTGACAGGAATCTCTGAGTAAGGCATTGAGTGAAAAATAGTCAAAATGTCCAAATGGTGGAAGTGCAGATATGATGAGGAATTCCCAGATTCTCTTATTATCTTCACCTGCGTTGACTTGAGGGACCATGTGCAGGTCTAAAAAGTAGGCTGGACCATCAAAATAACTTGGAAAAGGTAGACCAAAGCATTTGATTTGAGGACCAGCATTCAGCCAAATTATCAAGCAAGAAACATGTCTTCGGTACCTTCATCTGCAGCCTTAGAACCTTCTGCCCACCACCCTCACATCCAATTTCTCCAGGATCCTTGTGTCCCACATTCCACCCACCACTGTTAAGACTTCTGTTCTGTTGGAGGAAAAACTCAAGTGTTCCACCCTCCTGATGTATAGCCCTCCACCTCTCCCGCCACATGCCCTGCAACAGTAGGTATTTCATTAGAAAGAAATGTGAGAAAGCCACCAATGCTCAGTGTTCCATGGACGGTAATGGTTTCATGTGCTATCTCTTTCAGGTGATGTAGTTATTTTAAAAGAAGTTTCCTAGAAATATTGTCTTTATCCAAAGTAATGAAATCCGTGCGGCGGAATTTTAGACAAAATGTTAGAATGGACATCAGGAAGGAACAAGGAGCCTTCTTGACCCCACTTAACCAAGAGTGTCCCTTATTCGCACCACATAGACCTTGGCTAACTCCACATCTGAGTAGGGGCATCTCTGATGGGGGTCAGTTTACAGCTTGTATTGAGGTGGGTGAGTTGCTGTAACAGAGAGGCCCAAAACATCATAATGGCTTAAATTAAGACAGAAGTTAATTCTTGGTTTGAAAAGAGCCCTGGGCAAATGAACAGTTTTCTGAGGCGTCCCTCCTCCATGAAATCCTTCAAGGCCCCAGGCTGATGAAATGTCTGCTATTTTTTGACATATGTCACTGCAGAGTTCCACGGGAAGGCCTCTCCTTCCAGCCCAGCTGCAAGGTGAGAAGAGCCTGGACACAGTTACCCACTTGGTAGATTTGTACGACCAGACCTGCAAGAAATATGCATCATTCCACTCATAGTCATTGGCTGGATCTCAGCATGGCTGTACCCAACAAAGAAGCAGCGGGAAGAAGAGGTAGACAGAGGCTCGGGGGGACAATTAATAATCTGCGCCATGCACTTCAAACATAAATCTATTCCTGGCTATGTGTTATGGGACCACGTTCCCTCCTGGGGAACACTGACAGCATTTGGGCACCAGCGCAAGAGGACAACACACGCGCCTGCCTTCAGGAAAGACAGGTTTGGTAAATGAGGGCCGAAAAAGGTGAAACTTAAAAATTGCAGTCACTTTCACATATCAGGAAGGGCAGCATCATTCTGTATTTGAAGGATTCTTTCTCTTTGTTTATTGTTTAAGAAAACACTTGAAGGTCACTTTTGACATGCCAGACTTAGGCCTGGTCAGAAACCTAGTTGTGGGAACGAGGCGAGACCCCGTTTTGCAAGAGAATGTGACCAGCACCTTTATTTCAGGCAGGGCTCCAACTTTGGGGAATTATTACTGAGTAAATTGGTTTTTTTTTTAACCTCTGCTTGGGGCTTGAAAAAAAGGAAATTGGGGTTTGGGACTCAGAACTAGTTCAAGGGGAACACCTTCCCAAATGAGGAAGGGAAGCCATCCCAACGTAGCAGCAAGACAGACAGACATAAAAGAGCTGGATGGGTGCTCGCTGCACTGGGATATGGCTGGTTGACTTAGGGGCAGCCATCACTGTCTCTGAGTTTCAAACGTTCCTGTCCTGCGTTCTAATTCTAACTCCATATCTTCTCTTCGGGATTTGAGTCTGCCTTTTGGTCAGCTGAGCAGGGCTGTGGGGTGGAGCTGTGAAATCAGAGGCAGCCCGTGTCTCCACACAGACAAACAGACCATGAAAGCACTTGAACCTGCACACAGAGCACACCGAGCAGTACTAGGGCAGGAGAGGGCAAGCCACAGCCAAGGCAAGTGCATGCTCCCTGGTCAACCCCATCTGCGAAGAGCCCTGGGATTCCTGACATCATCTAATGGGGACGTAGATCTTGGTCATGTGGCTAGCAGAGGGGTATACAACCCTGGAAGGCCAGGGAACATGGGTAGATGGTTGAATACATTCCAGCGAAACATCAGTGAACAACACAAGACGGTGCACCAAATTGTGATGTACAGGCTCTGACTCCTGCAGTGGAGGCAGATGGGAGAATTGACACCATTGGGAAGACCCACAGCAGGCAGAGGCTGGAGCCGGTCCCGAGGAGATGGACAGACAGAGGCAGTGGGGCACTACAGAGCACCCCAAGGCTGGAGCCCACTGAAACTGCAGTCTGCACCCAGAATTGCTGTTGCATATATTTTGTTTGCACTTTAATTGGCTTGTTTTCTGTTACTTTCTGAGGTTTGTCCACAGGATTTCCTGGTAACTTGATAAGACGTGTTACTTTGCCTTAATCTGGTGGGTTTTCTAGACCACAGCTTCCTAACCAGTGTAAGTTAGGAAGCTGTGGTAACCATGGTAGCCACCTCTGGCTGCAAGTGGCCTCAGGGCTGACACTAGTGTGCACTACCAATAACAGAGTTCCTGGATGTGTGTAAAGAGAAACACAGAGGGAAGCTCTATAGCCTGTATGTCGGTAAGTGACATTGACCTTGCTGGAGATAAATATAGAGCCATTAAACTGTGGGACCATATTATAAAAGAACTTTTCAAAATTCACAGTTTGGTTGCTTGCTCTGGCTAAAGTAGCTACTTTTCTTTCTCTGTATGTGTGTGTGTTTTTCCACATGCTTCCTCCTCAGCTTCTATCACCAATGTGGAATTTTCTGGAGAAATGAAGAACCCAGATCTACAAGTCGGGAAGCAGTTCCATATACTTTTTAGTAACGAGGGTTAGAAGGAAAACCACTGGGACAGTCAGGGAAGGCTCTCGGGGGTTCAAGGGCAAGCCTGGGGTGTGTGGAGGCTCCTGGGAGAGCAGCCTGGACAGGAAGCCAGAGGGACAGCGGAGCAAACATGAAAGGCGCGCACAGGGTTTGTGCTCAAGGAAGGTGAGGGGCAGTGACAATGGGGAGAGCAGGGCGGCGGTGGCTTCTTTCTTGCAAGCCCTCAGCTTGCCACAGGGGCTAACGCAAGTCAGATGACTTGGGTGGCTTGACTGCTTTCTCCGGGGGCACTAAACAAGATGGTGTCTACAGGCAAAATGGGGGTGAGCGAACGCAAAGTTTGGGAGAGCTGTAAATCCACCTTTTTCATTTTGTTCCCGCATTTGTCTTTTCCTACTTTTCATCCTCTCACAATACCATTGCTTCCATCCTGAATTGCATTTCTTTTTATAAGCGTGCTCACTTCACACAGCGCAAGCAATAAGCCCTCTAGCCAGAAGAGGGCAGTATTTGGAAACGATGCACAGAGAAATCCTTTCCCTGCCTGCCCAGGCACCGCCCACAGCTGGGTTCTCATTAGTGTTTATTCCAGTAGCGGCTATAAAAGGGGCATGAATTTATTTCTGAAGTCATATCCAGTGACTCCTTCGTCTCCCGCCTTTCCCGATGTTTTAAAGAAATAACCGTAAATATTTAGGGTACAGATATTCAATTTGGCTTCCTAACAGGCCATGTGTTGGCCAGTTTCCTGACAAAACTTACCCAGAATATAGAATGCAAATATCTAGACATTGTGAGTGAGTCAGGCAAGAGGAGCGCTTTGCTTAACATTTGCTTGCTCTTATGATTGCAATTGGCACATCAAATTCGGACTCTACCCAGTTTTTTACCAAAATGATTGTGCAAAGTCATTTATTAACTGTCTCAGCACCTATTAAATGTCCCATCCAGGCTGGACAATGGGGAGGTATGGGTGACTGCAATAAGGCAAGATACCAGGTTTGCTGTAGATGGATGGCATGGGCTTGAAAGAAAGTGGGTTTTTGGAAAAGAGAAAGTTCTAAAAAGGGAAAGCAATGGGGAATAGAGAGGACACCTCCCCCATCCCCAGGGCCATGGTGTGCAGGTTATGGGAATCTGACAGTGTCCTCAGGAGACCGCTAAGATTTAGTTAGAGTAAGAAGAATCCTTTTGAACACTTAGAGGAGAAATCAGGGATGCAAGGCATTTTGCTGGTAACAGATTATGAGGCAATAAGGGCTTGGGGTGGCAACACAGGCAGCCTTATGAATGTCCAGCCTGGGTAGTCACAAGGAGGGCACTAAGAGGGCACACTTACAGGGTCCCATGCCTGGTTTAAGGCCTTGCTGGTACCATCATGAAATTCTTACTGAGCTTTGAATAAGGAGTCCTACATTTTCATCTTGCATAAGGCTCTGCAAATCATGTAGCAGGAAGGTCAGGGATATGAGGAAGTCCAGGTGAAGTGAAGACTAGGGAATGCACCGATCTGTGGTTGACTCTCCGTGATGCTCTGGGTAGCTCGAATCTCTGGTGGTGTGTAAATGGGCATAATTCCCAATGAGATTAGTATTGGGGGTCTTCTGGGGAATGGAGGCTCCCAGTTCTAATCAAGGAGCTCTGCCCTGAGAGAGCATAACCATTTTGTGGGTCAGGAAAGGTGTGTGGGGACTCAGCTCAGGTCAGGGGTACTTGGTGTTCAGTCCTTTCCTTTCTAGACCACAGTGTGAAATGCAGTGGGGATTGAAGGGAACTTTGTGGGCCTCCCTTAAATCTACTGTAAGCAATGCTGCATCCAGAAGAGAAGCATCTTATGA